TCCACAGGGAGCTGGATGTGTGGCTGCATCCACGCCATTATCCTAACTTCCCTCACCTTCCAGTTATCTTACTGTGGCTCTAACGAGGTGGCCTATTACTGCTGTGACATACCTGCAGTCTTACCTCTAGCCTGTGAAGATGCGTCCCTAGCCCAGAAGGTAAGTTTTACAAATGTTGGTCTTTTGTCTCTCATTTGCTTTTTGTTCATCATTGTTTCCTACACTCGCATTGGGATCTCCATATCAAAAATTCGCTCATCAGAAGGCAGACAAAAAGCATTTTCTACTTGCAGTGCTCACATCACTGCAATTCTTTGTGCTTATGGACCAATAATCATCATCTATCTACAGTCTAATCCTAGTGCCTTGCTTAGAGCTTTAATTCAGATATTGAGTAATCTTGTCACTCCTGTGCTGAACCCACTGATCTATAGTCTGAGGAATAAGGATGTGAAATCAGCCCTGAAGAATGTATTTCACAAGAGAGGATTCACTCTGGGGAGTAAATGAGAAGCTCTAAAGTTTTGCTGGATAAAATTTGAATCTCCATTTCTTAGGACAAATTCTGACCTGTAGCTTCCAAGGTATGTTGAAATTAAGTGTACTCAGAACCTAGCTAAGTTTTAAAATACACATTTGTTTTCATATTTCTCTCTGTGTTAAAATGAAATATAATTAACAGAAAATCACTTAGGAACTAGAACTGATTCTTATGCTGCACAGATTCTCTTCCAGGACCACCATCTTCTATAGAACATTACTTAGTTGTTTAAATCTTTGAAAGAGATAAAAAAATATATATATATTTTCTTTCTTATAATCTCTGTTAGAAGTACATTCATATACATCCAGAGAAAAGAAAAGCCCAGCTTAACAGAGTACCATATTTCAATGTCACTTCTTTTAGCAGACTATAACTTCCAGTTTTCTGTCAATAAACGCCAAAACTCAGACTAAAATAGGTAGCATTTAAAGTAATACCTTTCAACTGTGCATTTTGGTGTGGTTTTAAGATTATTTCTAGTACACAGATTTCTTTAGGACCCAGATATTCTTCATGTATTCATAGACCCCTGGAAGGGTATCAACGAGTCATTTCTCATTAGCTCCTAGAAGAAGCAGTTTTAGTTTTGTAAAAGATAGTAAAAAACAAACAAATAACAAATCAACTTCAAGTATGTTACTACATTTTTTTTTCAAAACATGGAACATTGATTTAGCTCTATTTGTTATAGAAAGCACGTGTTAGAATTTTCATTTAAATTCAGTTAGCAATAATAAATGTGCCTCTCCATAGAAAAGGATATGTTTCTTCCTTTCTCATAATAAAATTTATAGAGCTTATTTTGATTCCGCTAATCTCGGTTCCATGATGCTACGGAAAATAATAGGTAAATTTTATTTATAGAAACTTATATTTTATAATTAACATATTCTCATTCTTTTTTTCCTAGTTTTTCTCCTTTCTATTTATATTTTACCTACCAGCTGTTTACAGCTTTTCTTGTAAAAAAAGAATCAGAGACTAATGTATTAAAACAAAATTTAAAAAGCTTGTTTTAGAATTAAAACTGCATTTTTCACAATGGAATATTATCTTCCTTTCCTTGCCTTCAGTTCCTGTCTATCAACACAATTGGTTGAAAATAAGTTCTTGGAGAAGAAACAATAAGCACCACACCGAGTGTGGAATGAGCTATTAGAAAATATTAAATGGACCCCCAGTGGCAGGAGATGCCTATCATCAGTGCTCTGTTGTTTGCCATATAAGAATTTCTAATGTAAGATACTGTAATTGCACCTAATAAGCAATTAGTCAGTCTGGCTAGAAATCTTAAGGACACTAATTCGATTTAAAGCAAGCTTAATTACACCAAAGGTTACTCTAGAGAAGCAACAATCGAACTGAAATATTAAACATGGCGAATATTAAAGGATAAAATGTAAAGAATGGCTCGATTCTTTACAATAAGCATCGCCAAAATTAATAACTTTCATTATAACAAGGTTGTTATTCTAAGCGTTCTATTAACTGGGAAACACAATAGTCACTACTATTCTTTAAGGCCTGACATGGTGCTGTCAACTGTATTGGTGCTCCTTCACTTTGTGGAATAAAGAAAAGAAAGACACAGAAATGGTGAGCCTGGAGTTCCAACAACACAGTCTGGGCTCCAAGGGAAAGCGCAGAGCCCTGTGTCCTTCTGGGGCCACGTTCCCAGACAGAAGATCCAGGCACTATGTAGTGAGTGAGGAGGGCGAGGAAGAGAGGGGTCCAGGCCATGGAGGACGCTCCCAGGCTCTGCTTTCTGTGTCTCTCAGCTCAGACAGAGCGCCTCTGATGTCTTTTATTCCTCCTTGCACCACCGGGGAAGCGGTTCCTTCATGCAAGTCTGTTCCTCCCGCTGACTGTCCCAGA